TCTTGTTATAAGTTATATACAATATGGGGGTTTTGGTTTAAATTACCATATATATTAAAATAAAAAAGCCATATCCTGACCAGGAGCACATATGCTTTTCAGCACATATGGTGGAACAGAAAACAGATGGCGCTCTGCCTTCTGAAAAGCACATGTGCTCCTGGTCAGGATATGCCTTTTTTATTTTAAATATCAACACCTGACCTTTTTATATACATTTGTATATATATTTTTTCTATTGTTTTTTCATATATATGGCACGATAATTCTTTTATTTTGACTAATCATTTTATTTCAGGTCTTCTCTAAATTTGCTATTGGTTCCTAGAAACATGATGATTTTAAACATAATGCATTAGCGCGCCACCTAGCAACAATAAATGAAACTAATACCTAGGATAAAACCCTGTTTATTAGTTTGACTTCTATGTGTTATGCCTTGTGTTTGATTTATGCCTAACCCGCTTTCTGGGAATTGTTTTCAGGAAGACCATTGATTGCGATGCAAATACTTGTATGTATTTGTACTCTTCTCAAAGCTAATGTCCAGAGTTTGCTTAAATGCAAGATTTCCTCTAAAGTGTATATTGTGTGTGCGTGTGTGTGTGTGTGTGTGTGCGTGTGCGTGTGTATGAAATAATGCACTAGCGTGTCATCTGTTGTAAGGATTTTAACAATTTTTGAGGCGTATGAATCAATTAAAAAAAAAGAACCATACGCGTCAAAAATATTTGAATTTCTTATATCAGGCCAAGTCATAAGGATTCTTTCAACCGAAAAAAAAGAGTATCTGATAATAAACAACTTCCAGGAGAGACCGACTTTAGCCATGTTTCAGGCTATGGTCTCTCATTAGAGACGCTAGTGTATAACGGAAATCAGTCACCGTTTTTTACAAGAATAAAGAGGTGATGTGACGAAGGCTGACCTTGGCTACGGGGGGTAATTAGGCATGCAGTCCGGGCGGGGACCGAATAAACAACATCCCTCTGAAGAAACACAGGAAGAGGCTCCGTCCGGGAATTGCACTTCCTGTTTGCTGGCGGCACCTGAGACGGAGGATTTTCGCCGGATTTCATTGTCCTGGGAACTGTGGCTTGTACGGCTGTCATCGCCGTCCTGGGAACTGTGGCTTGTACCTGTCTTGTAGATGTAGTTTATCTGGGACTCTCACATCGTACTCTACTGGCTGTCATTGTCCTGGGAACTGTGGCTTGTAACTGTCTTGTAGACGTAATTTATCTGGGACTCTCACATCGTACTCTACTGGCTGTCATTGTCCTGGGAACTGTGGCCTGTAACTGTCTTGTAGACGTAGTTTATCTGGGACTCTCACATCGTACTCTACTGGTGGTCATTGTCCTGGGAACTGTGGCCTGTAACTGTCTTGTAGACATAGTTTATCTGGGACTCTCACATCGTACTCTAATGGCTGTCATTGTCCTGGGAACTGTGGCCTGTAACTGTCTTGTAGACGTAATTTATCTGGGACTCTCACATCGTACTCTACTGGTGGTCATTGTCCTGGGAACTGTGGCCTGTAACTGTCTTGTAGACATAGTTTATCTGGGACTCTCACATCGTACTCTAATGGCTGTCATTGTCCTGGGAACTGTGACTTGTAACTGTCTTGTAGACATAGTTTATCTGGGACTCTCACATCGTACTCTACTGGTTGTCATTGTCCTGGGAACTGTGGCCTGTAACTGTCTTGTAGACATAGTTTATCTGGGACTCTCACATCGTACTCTACTGGTTGTCATTGTCCTGGGAACTGTGGCCTGTAACTGTCTTGTAGACATAGTTTATCTGGGACTCTCACATCGTACTCTACTGGTGGTCATTGTCCTGGGAACTGTGGCCTGTAACTGTCTTGTAGACGTAGTTTATCTGGGACTCTCACATCGTACTCTACTGGCTGCCATTGTCCTGGGAACTGTGGCCTGTAACTGTCTTGTAGACATAGTTTATCTGGGACTCTCACATCGTACTCTACTGGTTGTCATTGTCCTGGGAACTGTAGCCTGTAACTGTCTTGTAGACATAGTTTATCTGGGACTCTCACATCGTACTCTACTGGTGGTCATTGTCCTGGGAACTGTGGCCTGTAACTGTCTTGTAGACGTAGTTTATCTGGGACTCTCACATCGTACTCTACTGGCTGTCATTGTCCTGGGAACTGTGGCTTGTAACTGTCTTGTAGACGTAGTTTATCTGGGACTCTCACATCGTACTCTAATGGCTGTCATTGTCCTGGGAACTGTGGCCTGTAACTGTCTTGTAGACGTAGTTTATCTGGGACTCTCACATCGTACTCTACTGGCTGCCATTGTCCTGGGAACTGTGGCCTGTAACTGTCTTGTAGACATATTTTATCTGGGACTCTCACATCGTACTCTAATGGCTGTCATTGTCCTGGGAACTGTGGCCTGTAACTGTCTTGTAGACGTAGTTTATCTGGGACTCTCACATCGTACTCTACTGTCTGTCATTGTCCTGGGAACTGTAGCCTGTAACTGTCTTGTAGACATAGTTTATCTGGGACTCTCACATCGTACTCTACTGGCTGCCATTGTCCTGGGAACTGTGGCTTGTAACTGTCTTGTAGACATAGTTTATCTGAGACTCTCACATCGCGCGTACTCTACTGGTTGTCATTGTCCTGGGAACTGTGGCCTGTAACTGTCTTGTAGACGTTGTTTATCTGGGACTCTCACATCGTACTCTAGTGGCTTTCATTGTCCCGGGAACTGTGGCCTGTAACTGTCTTGTAGACGTATTTTATCTGGGACTATCACATCGTACTCTACTGGCTTTCATTGTCCTGGGAACTTTAGCCTGTAACTGTCTTGTAGACGTAGTTTATCTGGGACTCTCACATCGTACTCTACTGGTTGTCATTGTCCTGGGAACTGTGGCCTGTAACTGTCTTGTAGACGTTGTTTATCTGGGACTCTCACATCGTACTCTACTGGCTGTCATTGTCCTGGGAACTGTGGCCTGTAACTGTCTTGTAGACGTAGTTTATCTGGGACTCTCACATCGTACTCTACTGGTGGTCATTGTCCTGGGAACTGTGGCTTGTAACTGTCTTGTAGACGTTGTTTATCTGGGACTCTCACATCGTACTCTACTGACTTTCATTGTCCTGGGAACTGTAGCCTGTAACTGTCTTGTAGACGTAGTTTATCTGGGACTCTCACATCGTACTCTACTGGCTTTCATTGTCCTGGGAACTGTAGCCTGTAACTGTCTTGTAGACATAGTTTATCTGGGACTCTCACATCGTACTCTACTGGCTTTCATTGTCCTGAGAACTGTGGCTTGTAACTGTCTTGTAGACGTAGTTTATCTGGGACTCTCACATCGTACTCTAGTGGCTTTCATTGTCCCGGGAACTGTGGCCTGTAACTGTCTTGTAGACGTAGTTTATCTGGGACTCTCACATCGTACTCTACTGGCTTTCATTGTCCTGGGAACTGTAGCCTGTAACTGTCTTGTAGACATAGTTTATCTGGGACTCTCACATCGTACTCTACTGACTTTCATTGTCCTGGGAACTGTGGCTTGTAACTGTCTTGTAGACATAGTTTATCTGGGACTCTCACATCGTACTCTACTGACTTTCATTGTCCTGGGAACTGTAGCCTGTAACTGTCTTGTAGACATAGTTTATCTGGGACTCACATCGTACTCTACTGACTTTCATTGTCCTGGGAACTGTAGCCTGTAACTGTCTTGTAGACATAGTTTATCTGGGACTCTCACATCGTACTCTACTGAATTTCATTGTCCTGAGAACTGTGGCCTGTAACTGTCTTGTAGACGTAGTTTATCTGGGACTCTCACATCGTACTCTACTGACTTTCATTGTCCTGAGAACTGTGGCTTGTAACTGTCTTGTAGACATAGTTTATCTGGGACTCTCACATCGTACTCTACTGGTTGTCATTGTCCTGGGAGCTGTGGCCTGTAACTGTCTTGTAGACGTAGTTTATCTGGGACTCTCACATCGTACTCTACTGACTTTCATTGTCCTGGGAACTGTGGCTTGTAACTGTCTTGTAGACATAGTTTATCTGGGACTCTCACATCGTACTCTACTGGCTGTCATTGTCCTGGGAGCTGTGGCCTGTAACTGTCTTGTAGACGTAGTTTATCTGGGACTCTCACATCGTACTCTACTGGCTGTCATTGTCCTGGGAGCTGTGGCCTGTAACTGTCTTGTAGACATAGTTTATCTGGGACTCTCACATCGTACTCTACTGGTTGTCATTGTCCTGGGAACTGTGGCTTGTAACTGTCTTGTAGACATAGTTTATCTGGGACTCTCACATCGTACTCTACTGGCTGTCATTGTCCTGGGAGCTGTGGCCTGTAACTGTCTTGTAGACGTAGTTTATCTGGGACTCTCACATCGTACTCTACTGGCTGTCATTGTCCTGGGAGCTGTGGCCTGTAACTGTCTTGTAGACATAGTTTATCTGGGACTCTCACATCGTACTCTACTGGTTGTCATTGTCCTGGGAGCTGTGGCCTGTAACTGTCTTGTAGACGTAGTTTATCTGGGACTCTCACATCGTACTCTACTGGCTGTCATTGTCCTGGGAGCTGTGGCCTGTAACTGTCTTGTAGACGTAGTTTATCTGGGACTCTCACATCGTACTCTACTGGCTGTCATTGTCCTGGGAGCTGTGGCTTGTAACTGTCTTGTAGACATAGTTTATCTGGGACTCTCACATCGTACTCTACTGGCTGTCATTATCCTGGGAGCTGTGGCCTGTAACTGTCTTGTAGATGTAGTTTATCTGGGACTCTCACATCGTACTCTACTGGCTGCCATTGTCCTGGGAACTGTGGCTTGTAACTATTCTGTAGACGTAGTTTATCTGGGATTCTCATAGTGTTTGTTATTTAAAGAACAATGAATGCCGGAAAGGCAACTTCTATCTTCAAGATAATACTTATTTATGTGGTATAAGGGAAAAGGATCCTGAGAATCTTGTCGACTCTCTATATTAAAGTGCTTTGTCCTGAGAATCCTCGGGAGTGGATGGGATTTTGTATGTTTGGGCAGTCGTTATCAATGGCGGTGGATGAAAAAATCGGCACACTATATCGATTAATGAATCACAAAACACCTCGGAATATTAATCATTGGCGGCTCGGGAGAGGAGATGGAAGGATTTTCGCGATTAAATTGGATTGAGATGACTCACATCTTGGACCTCGAGGCACTACTTTTAGAAGATGCACACACACGTCTTGACACACACGTTACCGACCGAACTCTGGCTGCCCCGCCCCCTGGCTTGGGTCATGTGGGACCCTGCTTGACCTTTGATTGGTCCCTGTCTCTGTCGGCCATGATGGTAAATTTGGTCGGGAAGAAGCTTTGCCTAACATCCCAATCTCTCAGGACATTCAACTCTGGAATATGAGGGCCTCTTTGTTCTAAGTGACCTAGATACACGACTTGGATCTGTCGTTCTTTTCTCTTCTACTTCTTCCATCTCCAAAGTCCTTTGACTGCCATCTTTATTTGAATCCATACAGAATACATTATATCCAACATGGTACATAATTATTTATTAGACAATATTCTTTATAATATTACATTTACACACATTTTACTGATAATAATAAAAAATGGCATTTGTTTTAAAATGTGTTATTCTCTCCTAATACCTCTTTCATGTTATAATATCAATTGCCATCTATCGATAAAATATATGTGACTATTATTTTTGACAATAGGTTTCTTATCATTATATTATCAAATATTATTTACAAACCTTACTGCAATGATAAAAATAATTAGATGAGAGGTCTTGGATCAGTAGTGGTCTGTAGATTAATTTGGCGAAACCACTAAGAAAATTCACCACTGATGAGGCAAGCCCTCTCTTATAATAATTTCTATCATGGCAGTAAGGCCTTAAAGTCTCTCTCTCTCTCTCTCTCTCTCTGTATATTTTAAAAGGGATCTGTATTAAATTCTGAAAAAAAGAAAAATAATTTTTTGGGAAAGAAAAAAAAATAAAATTTTTTTAAAATAGTGAGTGGTTAGATACTATTGGGGAGAAAGTAAATGATGGAAATAAGTAAAAAAAAGAAATTTGAGTAGATAGGGGTGCTTGCTAAACTAGGAAAAAATATGATAATTTTTTGGAGAAAAAAAAAAAATCTTGCCTGCATAGGTGTTCAATCTTGCTGTGTGGAAACCCACAGCAAGGGAAACTCTATGAGGTGCAATCCAAACAAAACATATAAGACATTAACAGAAATAAAAAGAAAACTATAGACAATAAATTTTGGTGATGGAGGGAAAAAAAAAGAAAAAGAAATCTGATTAGCCTTTGGGGCGGTGAAAAAATATAAACAAAACATAAAAAAAGAAATCAAAGCTCCTGTATGATAACTGAAGGCTGATACATGAGAAGTATTGCGTCAGGTCAGTTGTTCATTCAGTTAGGACAAAACAAGGTTTAAACAATAAAAGGAAAAAATAAACTTGAGGTGATTAAGAAATTGAAAGGGTGATAGACATGGATGGTGGGAATAAAAAAAATAAAAATAAAAAAAAATAAAAGTGCTGGTTGTGTACAAGTCCTTTAAAATTGGTTAACAAAAATATACACAAAAGAAGAATATTTTTTTACATAACAATGTCCAATCTTTGTTTATTATAGGGTCGTAGGTCATAAGGTTGCCAAAACTATATAGGTGCGTGAATGTATGCGAGTGTGTGTGAGTGTATGTTCCAGAAAGTAACTTTAAGTGTGGTGACACGCGAAAAGTGACGGCGGGTTTGTTTACATTCCGCAGGGAGGGTGTGACGTCGGTCACGTGATCGGAAAGGACGTGACGTCGGCGCGGCGGAAGGTTTCTGTAAAGTGGACGCCAGCTGACAGCGGGGTGATCGACGAGTGTTTGTAAAGGTGGGGAGATTGCTATTCGACTTGGCGCGCTCTAAAGAGGGTTTGGAAAATCTCTCCTATGATTTCACCTATTAGAGCGACCAAGGCATGACTGTGGACAAGGATGGTCCATAACTCCGGGAGAATTATTCCTATGGTTCGATGGATTAGTTCCACTACGGCGATGGTTATTTCGAATAGGGCTTCCTGTAGTTGGAAGAGACGGTTGGGCTGCAGTGTATAGACACTGACATACAGTAGGGTGGCCATGGGTAATAGTACAGTGGGTAGGATGAAAAGGTTGATGAGGTATAGGAGGTGGAACAAGGGGAAGGTTTTCACGTTACGAAAAAACCTTGCCTGTAAGGGAATTGGTTTGAATTCAGCCCTAACTGTAGGGATTTGGGTTTTAACTTTGGTTATATGGGTTGGACGGGATATTGCAGGTTGGGGAATATCGCGTTGGGCGATAATGTTACATTGTGGGTCAACAGGGGTGGTAGTGGTACAATTGCCTATTGTAGGAGCAAAGCGCTCAACTGTAAAGAGGTCTGGGGTGAGGTGCTCGAACAGTGGTGGTAGCGTCCTAGATTGGGGTTTAGCAGGGTGTGGTATCAGAGTGGGAGGTGCGATATAACGAATATTTTCGTTATAGTACTGTAATTTATTTACATGGACTGTGTCGGTATTCCGATTTAGAGGTTGGTTGGGTCGGTTTATTCTCACCACGTTGGGAGAGATGATCTCTAAGATCTCGTAGGGACCCGTGAAATACGGAGTCAGTTTGCCTGTATTGGGGTGATGGTAAACTTTTACCAACACGAGATCTCCGGGTTCAAAATGGGGTGTCTTATGTTGTTGGTCGTAGGCATGTTTGTCCTTGAGGTGCTTGGCCTGGGTACGTTCATGGGCTATCCGTCGGGCTGTGGTTAAAACGGGGTAGGGGTTTATATGCTCAGTGAGCTCGGGAGGTAGAACGCCGAACATCAGGTAGCCAGGTGGGAACCCGGTAACTGAGTGGGGCGTGTTGTTATACACCACAGTAACGCGCTTCGCCAGCTTAGTCCATGCGGCTTTGGGGTTTTCCAAATGGAGTAACCTTAGTTTGCCTGTTAAGGTAGCGTTCAGGCGCTCGCATAGACCATTAGCTTGGGGGTTGTTACTGGTGGTGAGCAGGGGATGGATGTTCCTGTTAATCAGGAACTTCCTGAACTTTGGTGAGGTGAACGCAGGCGCTCTATCCGTGAGTAGGCGTTTCGGAGAGCCGTCCTGCAACACTCGCTTTATCACCTGTTGATAGGTGGTGATGCTGGTAGATTTTGAGGGGAAGGTCCACGTGTAGCGCGAAAAGTGATCCACCACAACGTGGAGGTAAGCTTTGGCGTTACCATATTTGGCAAGTCCAGCTATGGTGTCGAGGGCGACCAGATCAAAAGGCTGAGTGGCCACAGGAAGTTGTCCTAGTTCCCCAAACGTGGGACCTCGAGGGTGTTTTGTTGACTGACAGATGGCGCAGGCTTTGGTGGTTTTGGAGATGTCTTCTGACATCCCCTTCCAGTAGTACTGGGTAGAGATGAGCCTGGTCATCTGGGATATGCCCGGGTGGTTGTACCGACTGTGCACCTTTGTTAGTAGGTCGGGAACGAGGGCGTCAGGGACGACAATTTTGGTTACACCTCTACGCTTTAGGGTTTGCAGTCCGTTTCGATCAATGGTCAGTTTAGATTCTCCCGAAGGAGTGAGTTGGTGGTTCTTAATGAGGGTGGTGTCTAAGAATCCACAAAACGGGTTACGGGATAGGAGGTCCGCTTCATGTTGTAGTGATCCTTTTATGTAGCGGACTTCGTATTCGTAACACGATAACCTCAAACTCCATCGGAATAATCTGCCTGGCGGGTTTTTGATCGTCTTCAGCCACTGCAGTGCGTGATGGTCAGAAAATATGGTGAATTTTCTGCCCATTAGATACACACGGAACTTCTCCACGCTCTCGACAATGGCGAGGCATTCTAGTTCGGAGATGGTGTAGTTCCGCTCGTGTACACGCAGAGCGCGGCTGAAATATTGGACTGGGTAGGCCTTCCCAGCGGAGTGGACTTGTTTGAGGACGCCTGCAATGCCAAGTGTTGATGCATCGCAATATACCTGGCATGGTAGTTCATCCTTGTAGAGGTGCAATACGGGGTGTTGTGTGAGGCTTTCCTTCAGGCTGGTGAACGCCTTTTGGCATTTGTCATCCCAGTCCCACGTCACATCCTTCTTGAGAAGGTTGTTGAGTGGGGTCCGCAAACGGGCATAGTCCGGGATGAACTTATTATAGACGTTCACGGCGCCTAAGAAGGATTGCAGCGTTTTGCGATTGTTCGGGGGTGGGATAGCGTGGATTACGTCGGTATTGCGGATAAGTGGGGTGGTGGTACCAGCGGTGATTGTGTACCCCAGAAATTCGATGGTCTGCCTAAAAAACTCGCATTTGGTGAGGTTGAGTTGCAAGTTCTCCGCGTCGCAGAACGCGAAAAACCTGCGCAGGTGTTCTTGGTGTTCCTCCAGTGTCTCCGAATATATGACAAAGTCGTCAAAATAGTGCGCCACACAATCAAGTCCGTGCCCCTGCAGGACCTGATTGATTGCCCTTTCATAGATCTGTGGACTGGTCTTAAGTCCGAAAGGCAATCGGGTGGGCTGATACAACCCGTCTATCGTGGCGAAGGCCAACAGTGGTCGAGAATCAGGGTGTATCGGCACTTGCCAATATGCGGAGGAGACGTCGGCAGTCGAGAAATACTTGGCCCGCGCGAGACGGTCCAGTATATCTTCGATCCTCGGGAGTGGATGGACATCGGAGCTTATGACCTCGTTCACCTTCCTATAGTCGATACAAAACCTTTTGGTCTTGTCTCGCTTGGTCACTAGGGTGACCGGGCTAGAGAAAGGGGAGTAGGACGGCTCAATGATGTCATTATCCAACATCTGTCGGATCTGACTGCGTATTTCCCGTTGGTCGCATATCGGTACCCTATATGGGCGGATGGTGACGACTTTGTCGGAGTTGGTGGCGATTCTTACTGGGGGAACCTTTAGGCATGGGACCGCGAATTTGTTCCGGGAGAACACGTGTTGGTATTGGCGCAATAGCGCCGGGAATTGAGGTGGATACGGTGGCTGCGGTTGATTGTCTATGGGGATCCCTGGGAGGTGTTCTGGTGATGTTGGGTGGTGTGTGTGGTACATGGAATGGTGTGTGGAATGGGGATGTTTGGGTGTATGGTGAAGGTGGTCCGTTTGGACCTTGGTGGGGTGTGAGAGGTTGGCATTGGGTGGTTGTTCTGGTACCTTGACCCTATAATAAGAGCAGTTGGCTCTAAAAAAGTTCTTTGATTGGACATGGTGCGGTGGTTGGGTGAGTCCCTGGGTTGTGGACGTGTTGTCCGAAAAATGCGCATATTGGGTATTGTTGGCGGAAGGCGGAAAAATAGTGTGGGCCTTGCATAGGTCCGCCTGGCATTCCCAATATGTGCACCTTTCGGGCAACACAGCAAAGTGGTAGGTCAGGGGCGACAAAGGTGCATCGAGTTGGTACATAGTGCCATGTGCAAAATCGATTTTTAATTTGAATTTACGGAGGGTATTAATACCAAGTATTCCAAATGGTAGAGGGGCGTCCACCACGTGGAATACTTCGTTTTGGGTTATGGCATGAATGGATAGGGGGAAGGTAATCTGGCCTATTGTTGGCACGTGGCCATCTATTGTCTGTAAATTTATTATTTTTTTAGTTATTAAATTTAGGTCAGGGAAATTATTCTTTAAATTTTTATATATGGCACATGACACTAGGTTAACGGACGCACCCGTGTCTATCAGGAATGGTAGGGACAGTCCATGGGAGATTGGCAGACTAATTGTCAGGTTGACGAAAGGCCTGGTCAGTAGGCCTACCTGCTGGCTGCTGGTCTGGGGCTCCCTTGGTTATCCCAGTGGCTTGTGCGCGTGACGCTTGGTGATGGGGCTGGGCTCGCGGCCGTTGTTCCGCTAGTTGCGCGGAGCGCGCTGCTCGTGCGTCTCCGGAGGCACGGGGCAACTGCGGGGCTTGTCTGAGACGACACTCAGAGTGCCAGTGTAGTCCACCACAAAAACGGCAGTCTGTTGGCGGGGTCGACCTGGTTGGCACTGTTCTTGGACTAGGTCGCACCGGTGCGTAGGGGCCCAGTAGGGGTGGTGCGTGCTCGTCTGGGTGCCTTGGAGATGGTGCGCCGCTGCCGCGGATCCGCTGCACCAGCCGGAACCATGCACCTAGGTTCTCTGGCGGCACAATGCGGACGAGGCGCTGGTCGGAGGGTGGCAGCCCCTCGGTGAGCGTCTCCAAGATGACCTCTTGTGGGAGGCCCAGTTGTAGACCCAGCGCGGTCTTATTCCGATAGTATTCTTCCAGGTTGGGCTGTCCGGCCAGCTTCATGGAGAAGTATTGGGCATACGTGGCCTCATTGGTCTCCGGATAGAGATCCAGGAAGGTCTGTCTCACCTGGATGTAATGTTGGGTCTCCATCCGAAGCCTCCTGAAGTGTTCTAGCGGTTTGTTGTTCAGGTAACGGGGTAGGCGGAGCACTTTTTCCGTGTTGGTGAGACCATCCCAGTCTGTTTTCTGGTCATATGTTCGAAAGAACTGGGCGGCTGGGTAGGTCCCGTCGAAGCTCTGGACTTCTATCTCCGTCCGATGGGTCACGCGGTCGCTGGTGGTCTGAAGGGCAGATAAACACGCCGCGAGGCGTGCCAAGACGGCCGGCAACTCTGCCGACGGAGGGGGTGGTTCTATTTTGGGAGTACTTACGGCGGGGTTGTTTTCTCCCTCTGCGGTGTATTCCTCCGCGTCTTGCGTTTCGTTTTTCTCGTCCATCCTGTCGACTCTCTGTGGTATAAGGGAAAAGGATCCTGAGAATCTTGTCGACTCTCTATATTAAAGTGCTTTGTCCTGAGAATCCTCGGGAGTGGATGGGATTTTGTATGTTTGGGCAGTCGTTATCAATGGCGGTGGATGAAAAAATCGGCACACTATATCGATTAATGAATCACAAAACACCTCGGAATATTAATCATTGGTGGCTCGGGAGAGGAGATGGAAGGATTTTCGCGATTAAATTGGATTGAGATGACTCACATCTTGGACCTCGAGGCACTACTTTTAGAAGATGCACACACACGTCTTGACACACACGTTACCGACCGAACTCTGGCTGCCCCGCCCCCTGGCTTGGGTCATGTGGGACCCTGCTTGACCTTTGATTGGTCCCTGTCTCTGTCGGCCATGATGGTAAATTTGGTCGGGAAGAAGCTTTGCCTAACATCCCAATCTCTCAGGACATTCAACTCTGGAATATGAGGGCCTCTTTGTTCTAAGTGACCTAGATACACGACTTGGATCTGTCGTTCTTTTCTCTTCTACTTCTTCCATCTCCAAAGTCCTTTGACTGCCATCTTTATTTGAATCCATACAGAATACATTATATCCAACATGGTACATAATTATTTATTAGACAATATTCTTTATAATATTACATTTACACACATTTTACTGATAATAATAAAAAATGGCATTTGTTTTAAAATGTGTTATTCTCTCCTAATACCTCTTTCATGTTATAATATCAATTGCCATCTATCGATAAAATATATGTGACTATTATTTTTGACAATAGGTTTCTTATCATTATATTATCAAATATTATTTACAAACCTTACTGCAATGATAAAAATAATTAGATGAGAGGTCTTGGATCAGTAGTGGTCTGTAGATTAATTTGGCGAAACCACTAAGAAAATTCACCACTGATGAGGCAAGCCCTCTCTTATAATAATTTCTATCATGGCAGTAAGGCCTTAAAGTCTCTCTCTCTCTCTCTCTCTCTCTGTATAAAAATATTTGATAATTATTATCATAAGAAACCTATTGCCCCCCTCCCCTCGATAAAAATAATATAAATGGATTCTATAATATCTCTTTCACACACTCATATCCTCGAATTGTGTGTCGGAGTGTTACACTTTATCTTGAAATTGGCGTTTTTGGTGAGAAACTTGAATATCGCGTTCAGGTGTGTAAACAACATGTGACTCTACACTGTGAAATCCCTGGCAGGCGGTGTTGAGATGTGAGGATTATACGACTGGGAAAACATGTGTTGTGTGTGCGCTGCTATTCTCTTTTTAAATTACTTCTTTAACATCTCGATTGACACACGTTAACATAAATCACACTTCCATTACTGTAAAATCACATCTAGAAGTCTTCAAATTTGAGTTAAACGATTTTTTTTACCCATATATATATATATTTAATTAAAAAGGCATATATTGGATCAACTATCAATTATTTTACCAATATTTCAGTTGGCTGAACGCCAACCTTTATCAAGGTGTTATAACATTTTTAAAGTTTGTCAACAACAAACTCAGCGCCCACATAACGTCAACAGCATTAAGATTTAAAAATATTTTGTTATATTCAATGGGGAGAAAAAAAATTGATATATATATTTATATTATAGACAAAATAAATTTTGTAAAATATAGGTGTGAAAAAAATATATATAAATGGTTTACTTTTCTTTATTTGTCAATAAATTGGGTTGGCCAAATATCAAGGAACAACCGATCTCCATCTTTGGACACTTTTATTTTTCCGTTTATCATTACTCTTCACAATTCATACTTCATCTCTAAGGTTAGAAATAATCGTCATTTCTCCTTAAAAATAAATTTCGATTTTTCGTTTGAAATAAACAAATGCGGGATAATTTTCAAATGTCGTTTTACAATCATATGCCGCATTATATTGTATTATGAACAACGTTTAGTTTATTTTTGTTCCATTAGATGGCGCTCTTCCATTGGTTTTATTCTTCTACATAGTAACCTTATACCCATATCAGAATCTATAGTGATATAAGCGCACTCTATGTGGTAAAAGGATTTTAGGTTCCAGAAACCTAAGTTAAACAAAGGGCTGATGATGATATCCTATATTTGGTAGCAGAATGAAAGGTAATTTTAAAAATGTCTAATTATCATCATTTGTTATGTTCTTCCATCTAAAATGCATATGTGAGCCGTCAGGATATGCCTTTTTTGTTTTGAAAATAGAGCAATCCATATTTAATCCATTAGATAACACTGGTCAACAAGATTTTTGCACAAGAGAACCTGATTATGTTTCTAGTGTAACTTTTCATGCTGAACTCAAAAATCTAATCAGAAATTTCCCATCACCTATGGTTTTTGCGTGACGGTCTTTTTTTAGTATTGGGATAAATACACTAAAAATTGCAAACATTGTCACGTAACTGGTTTATCAAAAAATATTTTTCTTTGTCCACAAAGAAATAGCATCATATCTACATGTCCTGAATCCAAATATACCATTAGTTTTTTTCTATTACACAATATTTCTGAGATACACCTACTTGAATTTGGAAATATTGTTAATATATAGGCATATATGAACGAAACATATTTATTATTGAAAAGCAGTGACAGTGGATTTTCTTCTATACTTTGCTTGTGGTAGATCCCTCTTGAGTGCCCAGCAGTCGTCGGCAAGCATAGCGGGACTCCATTTACCTTGGTACCGCTTCTCCATGCTTGATATAGCTTGATGAAACCTCTCACCATGCTCATCGCTAACTGCGCCAAGATTGTCTGGAAAGAAATCTAGATGTGAATGCAGGAAATGGATCTTGAGGGACATGTTACATCCCAGTGCCTTGTAGGAAAGCAACAGATCATTAACTATGTCTCGGTAATTTTCAACCTTGACACTTCCTAAGAAGTTTTTGCAAACGTTTCAAAAGGAATTCCATTCTGCTGCTTCAAATTCATTCAAACTATTTTGAAAATTTCCATCCTGCTGCAATTCTCGAATCTGAGGTCCAACGAAAATGCCTTCTTTAATCTTCGCTTCACTTATACTAGAAAATTTTTGTTTTAGGTAGGCAAATCCACTGGCATTTCGATCCATTGCCTTGACAAAGTTCTTCATTAATCCCAGTTTAATATGTAATGGTGGTAAGTAAATATTTTCTGAATCGATCAGTGGTGGATTTGCAATATTTTTATATCCTGGAGTAAAGATTTTACGGTTTGGCCAGATTTTTTTAATGTAATGCCTTTCCCTATCTCTGCTATCCCACTCACACAGAAAACAACAAAATTTTGTATATCCAAGCTGTAATCCACGCAAGAGAGCAACGACTTTCAAATCGCTGCATATTTTCCAACCGTATCTTTCATATTCTATCTTTTTCAAAAGCAGTTTCATGTTTTCGTAAGTCTCTTTCATGTTGGATGCATGTATTTATCCCAATACTAAAAAAAGATCGTCAGGCAAAAACCATGGGTGATGGGAAATTTCTGATTAGATTTTTGAGTTCAGCATGAAAGTTACACTAGAAACACCATCAGGTTCTCTTGTGCAAAAAAAAAAGTTTTTTTTGTAGACCTGTGTAATATAACGGCATATATTGGATTTAATAAAAGATTTATTTTGCCAATATTTCGGCTGGCTGAATGCCAACCTTTATCGAGGCATTATATTTTTGTATACACAAACTCAGCGCCGCATAGTATTATAATTTTATATTATATTTTAAATTATTTCAACTTCGATATTATAACACTATGCGGCGCTGAGTTTGTGTATACAAAAATGTAATGCCTCGATAAAGGTTGGCGTTCAGCCAGCCGAAATATTGGCAAAATAAATCTTTTATTAAATCCAATATATGTCATTTTATTATCTAATGAATTAAATATGTGAGTAATATTTACCTAGAAATCATTCGAAAAAGAAAAAATAAATAATATTAAGGTAGAGGGTTTCTTTTAATTTTGATTTTCGCAAGTTTTCGAGCAAAATTCCTGCTCTTCAATGGGCATATACTTCTATAAAATGAAAGGATTTAAAAGCACGAATGTTTCTTTTATACATAAAACAAACTTCTACTGCCCTTACTGCGATGAAATAATATATTAGGAGGGCTTGGCTCATCAGTGGTGAACCCTCCCAGCGGTTTCGCCAATTTAATCCACCAGACCGCTTCTCAGAGCTCTAATACTGTATTGGACGATTCTGCTTATATATGCTACACTGAAGGATAGAATCTCAGAAATGGTTTTCAAGAAAACTATGGACATAAGCTTATAGGATAGTATAATTACATTCAAATACTTCTATGTATGCCCATTGAAGAGCAGAAATTTGCTCGAAACTTGCGAAAATCAGAATTGAAAGAAACTCTTTACCCTAATTTTGTTTATTCTTTTTTTTCGAATATAATATATATGTTTTAAATAAATTCAGTTTATAATAAATATTTTTGGAATATAATTTCAAATTGACTTTCTATATAATGTCAGTTCAGCAAACTAAAACTGAGCGATTATATTATTATTTTTAAAAATAATTATTATTGTGTGGATATTAAGTGGGTATTTTGCTAAAAGTTCATAATTTTAAAGGTTAAAATGAGAAGATAAAAACGGAGAAATAAAGAATATAAAGTATATGTAATATGCTGATGCAATTTTTGTTATTACACTGTAATATTTGATGTATTACACTGTTGTAGAATCCTGTCGACTTAACCGTTCTGTGGCAATATCGTTGCGGGGTTCCTTGTTGTTGGATTTGAATGGTGAGGATTGGTTGAAGCGCAGTCGTTGAGTGGTAAGTGAAGCACACAGTTAGGAATAATCAGGACACGTGATTGAGTTTGGAAATATAAGGCAACGGGTTGGAGGAAAGAAAGCTTGAGAAGAACTGAGCGATTTGACTTATTAATTAGTTGATCACATGGCGGTGATTGTACTTAGCTGTGGGATGAGCAGAGGGAGAGAGGTCTAGAGCAGATGTCACCTTCTTGGAAGCTAAATCACTACTAACCATTCTTGTCTTTCGATTTAACACCACGAGTCAGTTTCTCTCTGATTGGTTGAGAGATCTCACATGATCTTTCCCTATTGGTTGACCTACTTAAGGTGCTATCTTCTGATAGGCCGGCGGCTTCCTTTGGTGAAAGCTGTGCCCTGCCTGGTATATCTGATTTCGTCAGGAAGTGTTTGGTGTCTTGACGCTTATAGTTTCGAAGGATATTAGACACGTCCTGTTTTTGCCGGAAGTACTGGATATCTCTCAAACTTTTATAACTTCTGGTCACTCGACACGTCCTGTTTGTCAGGAAGTATTGAGTGAATCTTGGCTAAAATAACTTCTGCGGTCACTAGAGACGCCCGGTCTCTGCCCCTGCAATGTTGACACAGGGGTGCCAAAATAGTCGTGCCAGCTTTAGTCTTACTTCCTATATCTTTTGTTACTTTCTTTCCTCCAGTTACCTTGTTCTTTATTAAGTCTTTGAAAATCATACATGGTACATACATAGTGGGTCGGGGTCGCATTTAATTATATACAAATTATGACAGATGCGCCCCCTACATGTGAAGAATTCAAGAAGGGGTTAGCCTGAGAGAATTCTGTAAAGTGAAAAATAATTTTGTGGGAAAATTAGTTGTGGGTATTGAGTCTATATACAAGCATTGGTGGCGATATAATAAGTAATATAGAATGGTGTTGATGATATAGGTTGAGTATAATTACTAGAAATCAAAAATTTTTTAATTGTAAGAAATCAATGAATGTTATGGTACATAGTGGGCAAAAAAAGGAAAATGCGCCTAAACGAATTCTACTCGAGTTAAGAAATGAATTCGAGGGAGTTCTATTAAGGCTTTTGAAATCAAATAAAAATAATATAAAAATAGTTGAATGAAATCAAAATTGAATGGGTTTGGTTGAAAAAGAAAAATATTTTGTTGCATGGTGACAAAGACAACTGCTTAGTTACTTTTTTTGCTCGAATTCTGAGAAAAAGGAATCGAGGAAATTTCATAAGGTGCTTTGAAATCAAAACAAAATAAAATAAGAGTAGTGAAATGAAATCAAAATTGAATGTGTTTGGTTGAATGGTGAGAGGAAAAAAAAAAAAGGAAAAATGCCTAACCATATTCTAGTTCGAAATTGGGAATGAAATCGAAGGAATTCTATTAGGGCTTTTGAGAAATCAACATAAAATAAGATAAAATAAAAGTTGAATGAAATCAAAGTGAAGGCTTGGTTGCACAAAAAAAAAAGAAAAAGCCTTGTTGTATGAAAAAAAAAGAAAATGCTTTGTTGCGTTGGTGAAAAAAAAAAGAATTGCCTAATTACTATCCTACTTGAGATTGGGAATGAAATCGAAGGGGTTTTCATTAGGTCTTTTGAGAAATCAAAATAAAAATAAAAATAAGAGTTGAACGGAATTAAAGTGAATGCTTGGTGCGTGGTGAGAAAAAAAAAGAAAAAATGCCTAATTATGTTCTAGCTCGGAATTGGGAATGGAGACCGAGGGAGTTTTATTAGGGCTTGTGAGAAATCAAAATAAAAATAAAAATAAAAGTTGAGCGAAATCAAAGGTGAGTGCTTGAGAAAAAAAAAAAAATGAAAAATAAAAGGTTTCAACAACAAAGGGTGATTTAATGTTTTTAGTTTAATCGAAAACCAGTGTTTTCGTTGATAATTGAGTTGTGACAATATAAGTCAAGTGGTAAATAGAATGATAATTGATAAATAAAAATGATAATATAAACTAATTGGAAAAAAAAAATGATAATTAATGATAAAAAGTGGTAATAAGTTGAATAATTTGATAAATTGATTAAATATTTAACTTTTAATTGAGAGAAAATAATAAAAATGATTGATATGAAAAATAAGATGTATTGGTTGGAACCCTTTGGTATCTACATGTCCTGATCTAAATGTATTGATTGTTCCATTTTGCCCTATAAATGTTTTACTTGCTCAATTATGCCCTATAAATTTTTTGTCTCATCTGTAGTGACACTTAGGTGAAAAACGTGATTCTAGCCCTCAAGTGCGTTTTATGCTGTGTACAGGAGACATGGAAATCTATATAACCTTTATGTGTAATTTTTTGTCTTTGTGTGTGTGTTGTGAAAAATGTTAGAAGTCGGTTGTGTAAGAGTTGTGTGAGTTAGTTCTAGGTGTTGTTTCGTGGATGTGTAATTGGTTGGTAAAAATCGATATGTAGACTCGAACTGGAATCAAAACCGGTGGCATAGTGAGGTTCCCAGTCGACCTCAATAGGGGGTCTTCTCATTGTAATTAGAGATACGGAAGTGGGGTGTGTCGGGCAAAAGAGAGGGAATGAAATTGGAGATCGGACGAGGGCGCTTCGCTTTGTTTACAGAGGCCGAATTTATCCGCTGCGGACTACACTTCCGTCGTGGTGTCTCAAATTCTCGTTTCCTCCCGTCTATTTATTTTTGGTGCGGCTCAGATCTTGTTTTTGGAGCGTGATTTCTCCGACACTGGTT